AGGTACTGTATATTAAATAATTAATGTGTTACTTTTAATTACAATAATTTAATTAACTTACGAAACAAACAGTTGATTTACCAATAATGTGTCCTAAACTGTGAAAGTAATAATAATATACACGAACGAAATGTTTCCAGTGCCTTTGTATGTATCGCTTAATATTATCAAAAATTGATAATATGTTACTAGATTAAATAGTTACTTTCTTACTTTTAATTATGATAATTTAATTAACTTACGAACGAACAGTTGATTCATCAATAATGTGTTCTAAACTGTGAAAGTAATAGTAAAATACACCAATGAAATTTTGCCAGTGCCTTGGTATTGTATCGCTCAATATTATCAAAAATTGATAATATACTACTGCAAAACACTGTAACTTGCTATTATTTGAGCTGAAAAATAAAATTTTTTCATGATTCACGATTTAAATCAGTTAAATCGCTGCTTAATCTAAAATCTTTAAATCACGTCGGCCTCGGATTATATGATGATGATACGATGTATTATGTAAAAGCCGAATATATGTTTAACAAATAAAAGAGAGAAAAAAGTGTACATATCCTTAGTAGGTCAGTTCACTATAATATAAAGAAAAAAAAAAAATAAATAAATTTGGCCCTGGCGTTGGCCGCGATAAAAGTTTGGGCAAATATCTGCTGCAGAGGGCGCAGCCTCTGCATCGGCTCGAAGCGAATAACCTGTATATTTAATGAGTGTACCAGAACATAAGAATAAGCAAATATAGAATAAGTGTTCATGCTTATGTGGTTTTACATACACATCTGGGAGTGTATAGAGTACCTATACCTTATGAGCAAGTGAGATAAGAATATAGTATTTATTTTTTCTTTTTTAAAAATAAAAACTATAATAAAAAATGCTTACATGGGTTGGCAATAGGGTAAGGCTACGGTAAGTTTGTAGAAAAGTACCTTAACGGCGATTGACACAACTGGGTAAAAATGCACTCTCTATAAACATATTTCTTATTCACAAACTATGAAATATACTACTTATTTATCTGCTGAGTATAAAAGATGATGCGTGTCACAGATAAAATTATCCTTTGCTAAGGATATAAATATGTGATTTTTTCAAGTATGTTTGAGACATAGTCTGGTTAACAGCAATAAGCAAACGTACCTAGACAATTTCTTGAACCTTCAGAAGTCTTGATCCAAATACAATACGTTGATGTTACTGGTTGGAGTAGAGAATGTACCATGTGTCTCTAGAGAGATGTATTTTATATTTTCTGGTTGGAGTCCAGCTAAGTGGTGCAGCTTCTTTAAAAAACGAGCAGTAGGTTGCTGCAAATACTGCTACCCTTAGTGATGAGTCAAGGCTACATTTCTAGGCTATTTCAAGTTGTAAAAGCCCAGATCATTCAAGGACTTGCACTACTTTCTCTGGTGCCACTGAAACAATAACAATTACTGAAAGTGAGTCTGAGTCAGAGCAAGATAGCAATAGACAGCAAGCCTAATTAACCCACCGTACTATTGTTAATTGCAGTGACATGCTCACTCATACTATGGAACGGATTTGACAAACTATGTACAAAGCCAAGAATAGACCAAGATTTGAGGCCCGAGGCTGGTCAAAAAGTCTAAACCAGCCGCCAATCTCATTAAACATAAAAAATTTTGTGATTTTAAAAAATTTAAAATGTGTCTGTCATATTTCATTCTAAGAAAGAGTTATGTTATAATTATTGTAGTGCCATGTGGCCAACTATATATTAGGCCGATAGTTTTTTTCACTGATATATTGTAAATCGATGTATTTTTAGTAATATCGAAATAATATCTAAAAAGATATATTTTTTTAGTCAATATCAAAATTAGTTTGTCCAGATAATCAAAAGCAAAGAAAATTGAATAAAAAACTTACGCACGGGGTCAGATCGGGGCATTCGATATCTCGCAAAAGTAAGCATTTTTGTCGATTATCGGTGATAATTCCTAAACTGCGCGTGCGCATTATCGTTATTTTTGGTTATTTTATAGGGATTATCGAAAATAATGCCTACTTTTGCGAGATATCGAATGCCCCGATCAGACCCCAGCTATTGATCAATCAAAATGAGAAATAATGCTGCAATTTATGTATGTGTATACATGCGTCGATGCCCTGTTTCCGTATGTTTGAATTGTCACTTATAGGTTTGTTGTTTGTTACTTTAGTGCACTATTATTTAATAAATGCGTTTTATATTAAATTTGTATCCACTAATTTTTAAACATAAACCCAATCATTGTTTATATATGTGCTCGATATATCGATACGTCGATATAATTTTTTTACCAATATCGATATGTTTTCGAAATAGTTTTAAAATATTGTTATAATATACATAGACAAATTTTTTTAATTTGCCCATCCCTTATGGCCTATGGCCAAGTTTATAATAGTGTTGGAAACATAGAGGTATAAGAATAGAGTAGAAAAGGTGGCGTGATATGCGACAGCAGCATTCGCTACGTAACGGGGCATCTATCTTTGTCTGGCAGTTATGTTATTGATCAAGTCCTACATGAGATTGGATCAACTGTAGGATTCAGGACGAAGAAGTAGCCAATAACGTGGCTTTGGCAACAAGGACAGATGCCCCGTTACACTTAATTATGCTGCCGCTGCCGCTAATGGGCTAGTATTCGCTACGTGCACAATCTGAAAAAGCGATCGCAGCAATACCTGTGCTAATATGTGAAACTAATCGATATGTTTGTCTTCTGCTAGCAGACTGCTAAGCATTACTATTATTAAAAAGTTATGTGTTTATACATCAACAACTATTCTAAGGGTTAAATTTTTAATAAAATTATGAGTAGTATGTACATATTTTACTCAGGCATGTTCATTGAAAAACGCAATGAAATACGTTGGATACTGTGTATTTCTTAGAGTTTTTAGCTGGGGCCTGATCCTCTAAGCGTATCGTATGAACGTGTGCACATACTGTGTGAACACGCTGGTATAGGGTTAACGGAACTCTCTGATTGGTCAGAGTAGGTCTGTGTTGACTGCATTGCAAACTAATAAAACATATCTCGTATCACACAGTACACGGTCTTGTGTTGAAGTAATACTCAAGCGCTTATAGTGCTTGTAGTACAAATTTTGTCCTTAGTTATTCACACAGGATTGTACCACTTGAGACATTGTATTAGTTTGTGATATAATAAACACAGAACCTTTCGTGTATCTATCGAGGTACTGTGTTCCGATAGGTATCAAGCACATATTGCGAATATTGCCTTCTGCTGTGCCAGACCAATAGTTCTCATTTTTCCCTTGGTGGCGCTGCTTCAAAATTGTGCACGTAGCGAACTGGAACAGCGCTTTTCCCCTCTATTCTTATACCTCGATGGTTGGAAAAGTCGACATTAGTTAAAGGTCGATCTATCACTTAAAAGAATCGACTTTTAAAAATCGAGCTGACGTCTCTTGAAGCGGCAGTACCTATCACGCCAAGCTCTTAATAGAAACAAAACCCTAATCCATTTAAAGCATGGGAATCTATGAAATACGAATGTTTACACTTATGGAGTATTTCCAAAAAGTTTTTATCCATAGTAGCAACGTCTCTACCTTGTGAGAGATTATTTTCGCATGCTGGTCTTATTGCTAACCCGTTGAGGAGCCGCTTGTCACCTCAGCATTTGAATGAGTTGATACGATCAGTAGATAAAAATATGTGATTTAAATAAAATTGGAATTTTTAGAGTTACGTTTAATCCTGAATGTCTTACCAGGCACAGTTACTTTGTAAACATTTTTTTATAAAAAGTTTAATGTACTTATATGTAAATACCTAATATTGTAAATTATTTAATATTTATCATGTATAAGTTTTTGAATTTTCTACAAGTCAATTTAAGTCATAAAGTTGACCATCATTTACGAATAGTCGACTTTGAAAGTCGAAAAATTTCAAGTCGATTCCAAAGTCGAAGATCGACTTTTGCTGTACGTTACTTGTAACCGCAGAGGAGGGGAGTCGACTCATACACATAGTGTGTAATCCGCAATCACCACCAGCAGTTACACAACGTTGTCACGTCTCACATATGTAACTGCTGATGATGATTGCGGATTTTACCTATAGAAGAAAACTAGACTGCTCGTTCTTATGTTTGGCGCTGAAGCACAAGTAGAAGAAGACACAATATTGAGCATGGGTATATCTCTCTCTTGCACATTCACACCTTTGGCAACGTGCAACAGACAGACATCCACGCTCGATGTTGTATCTTTTTCTACTTGTGCTTCAGCGCCGTACATAAGAACGAGCAGTCTATTTTTCTCATATGTCTATGAGTCAACTTAAAACGCGTCCTGTTGGTAGAAAGAGAGGCCAAATGAAGTGATCCAGTATGTATAGATATGCTTCCAAAGTTTTTATGCTTGTAGGCGGGTTATGGACGGTCTCTTCATTCTCTGTCTTTTTATTCCAACGAGACATTTATACTTATGAGTTAGGCTACAGTAACATGGAGCGCAATAGAGCGAGCAGGATAGGAATTTCTCCATAAGCGGCTGTGTTAAGTCTATTGCGCTGCAGGATAGCCCTATTGCGCGGCGCAATAGACTTAATTAACACAGCCGCTTATAGAGAAATTCCTATCCTGCTCGCTTTATTGCGCTCCATGTAAATGCAGCCTTAGCCCGACAAGAAATGACCACTAGATGGCCGTTGCTGAACACCAGGCCCTAGGCACGCCCTGGCCGGTATTGTAATGAGGTTGTCGAAAGGAAATGGCCAGGCCCTGATTTTGTATTACAAACACACGCATATATATATACTGTATAGCCTTCGACCTTCGAGACGTGACATATACATGAACATACACATTTATACGTACATACACACACACTTTTTTATTAATCTTCTATTTGTTTATGCTTGTTTATTCGTTTCTTAAATATACATTAAATGAAATATGAGTGAGAAAATTTAACGACTAAAAGGAAAAATTCGGTAAGTCCACAAATATTGAGAAAAAATTCTTAATATAGCATGATTACTACGACTTCGAGTAATCAAGACTAAGCCTGCCCACGTGCCCACTGCCCAGGCCCTACATTCAATGCAAGGCTTGCATCGATCACATTCTTGTCGGGAGGTACTCGTACTTCCCTACTCTATTGGTAATATTTCTATGCTCTACACTGTGTTCTCGACTGTGAGAGTGTGACGCCAGCATCCCGAGTAGAAATGAAAGTGGGCAGCCCAGCTGAAAGCTGAAACGCATAGTCCAAATCAAGCAACTAAGCGTCTAAGCCTGACCGCAAGTGGGTTTGTATTACGGATTACGGTGCTGATTTGGGAGCAACTTGGCCTGACTTGGCATGACTTTCGCGCAGTAATCGCCCACTTTCGTCTGCACTGATATTAGATATATCTAAGCATATAAGCTTGTTTATATATTAATTGTGTGTGCTGCGCGCATGTACATCATACCATATTTGTATACTTATACATAGAAGTCTCTGCATCATACTGATCTGCAGACGAAAGTGGGCGATTACTGGGCAAAAGTCACGCCAAGTCAGGCATAGCTGCATCCAAGTCAGCGCCGTATTACAATCCTACTTGAGGCCAAAAGTCAAGTGCCAAGTTGCAGCCAAGGTGGGCGGCGTGGCAGCCAAGCTTGGGCCCAGTTTTCGCCCACTTTCAATTTCTACTTGGGAGAGGATTGGGATGTGAATACGATTTATTCAAACGCAACCGCTCTGTGATCGCTCTAGACAGCTGTCTTGGAATGTGGCCACTGCGTAAAAGCTATATATAGTAATATCTGTCAAAGGTAAATAAAGGTGAAGTGTTTGTAATGACACCAATTAATCTCTCAGTTTACTGCAACTCAAAGAAAATTGCTGAGTGAGGAAAAGAAAGCCGTAATGAAAACGTTTTAGTAATGGTTTGTGCTGTACAATTTATTCTCGTGCTGCAATGTGCACAAATCTAACAGGACAAGATTTTGTATTGAGTCGTGAAACATAATTAAAACAGGGCGCAGTGGCAGGTTATTTTTTATTTTGTGATTATCTGATTGTATACTTGTAATGTAACGTTATTTTTGTCTTATTTATAATAAAAAATAAATTCTGAGAAAGTTGTGGCAGTATAGCTAAATGTTGGATTAACTGGTAGTCGTTTGTACCAGTTTGAATTCTTGTTTTAATTTGACAGAAGCTTAGAAACTTCGGTGTAGGTCTGTTAATTTTAGACTTAATTCCCACTAGAGGTTTTACCAGTTATTTTTAAAACGCATATAATTGGAGAAGGATAGAAAGCCTTCTATTACAGGGCAAAAGGTACGGGAAAAATCCCTGTCCCCTTTACAAAAAGCATGGCATAAACAGAACACATCCATAGTTACCCCTTTTGTCGTAAACTATACACGTCAATGGACCAGGAAGAGGTGAACAATTAGGGTAGCTTCCTCTAGAAAAGTAGTAGAGAGAAAATATTTTATTTTATTATAGTTAATTACGTTTTAAACTCAACATTGAGTAGATAGCCTTAGAGTATTTGAGAAATTCGTATAGTGGTTAACGGTACAGTTGTTGCAGCCCCCCTGCCCCCAATAGTAATAGTCTACATTAGTGTTATTTTTAAAATATCAAAAAATCATCGCTTCATTATTTGAATGAAAATTTTTATTACAACCATTCACCAACAAACTTTTAAAAAACATCACATTAAATGCCATTCAAAAATATTTAGTTTCTAAGTAATTAACTCTAAGATAACTACATCAACCCATGTAAGTTGTACCAATATTCGGTAATACTGGCTTTCCTTATAACCCATGTATGATAACTTGAAAAATTATTTATTCTCTTTATCTTTTTTTTCTTTTAAATCAAGTTAATAATCTCAAGAAGTTGTAGGCCAAAGACTGCATCCCGAAATTCAAAAATTACAGTCATTAGCTGCTAGGCCAATCACTCAGTGAAGGTTATGTGTGCAGCCAGCCAGTTATTTTTATACTGCCGGGATGTCCCAAAATATAGAATACATCTCTCCATGTCTATAAGGTAGGTGTATTATTGACAGTTTCACACGGTCGTTACACTAATTACCGTTCGAGATTCACCGTCACCAAAATAGATGTGTGTCGTACAGTTTTACTGGCAGTCGAAAAAAGATATGTAGATATATGTAAGTAGTACCGTAACGTGATGGTCAATCTAGAATAAAATTCAGTATAACGGTGGTCTAAATCAGAGTCCAGGGCCCAGGACTTTTCTCGTTTACAACTTGTGAGGCATATATATTCAATTGGATATACCTATAGAAATGTAAGAAAATTCTAATATCTATATGGATATACCGTATGAGGCAGGTGGCGTTAGTGTAAAGAGCAGTAGTGTACCAAAGCATGAACTGTCGGTATCAAAGGAGTCGGTGCTGTAATAAATAGTTATCATGTGTTACAGGCAAGCTGAAACTGCTACCATCTGCATCACCATAGTATAGGTATACCAACTAAACTGTCAAAAAATCTCTTAAAAGACTTCAATTATTCATTTTCACACTTGGCTTACTTGAATAGTAAATATAGTTAACAACCTTTCTACACACAACGTATTATATGCATGAATGTACACAACGATAATATTTGTCTTTCTAACTAATTTAAGTAATGAACGTATTCAAAAAAATGTTTTGTGTAAGTTTTAATAATGTACATGTAAATCTATGCAGACTGATAGACTGATTTACTCCAATTACTTAGTGGAAGACCACGTCAAGGTTGCAATTTTTTTCCATCAGGATGATATCAGAAGAGGTGCTTTCGTTGTTTCATTGTCATAGAGTTTATAAGTAATTTTATCGGGGAGAAAGTATATTTATATATGGCTTTTTGAATGTGTATTTATTAGATAACTGTAAGTAGTAAAAACTATATGAGTGACTTGTACATTTGTAACAAAACACATTTTTGGGAGAGCTTATCTTTTCTTTGTAAGGATTTTTCTGGGTTAAACGGGATCTTGTGGCAAGTGTACAAATAAAGAAAAACTTAAAAATAGACAAGATCCGCAATTTCTTTAGTTTTTTATTGTTAATTCCTAAAGCAAATATACACGTTGTTTCTTATTAAGAATTTTTCTAACTCTGTCGTGAAAAGATAAGAGCGAACAATTACTTATATAGATACAAATATCAATTACAATCATGCACAACCGAAAAATCAAATACATTTTTTCTCCAATACGCATGTTACATGCATTCAAAAATTTTTTTTTTCAAGTTTAACAAGATGTAACAATGTTTACATTATAAAATACTTTTCTTTATTTTCGTCATGAATGACATCTTAAAAAATTGAAAAAACAAAGTTGATGTAAGAATTATGACATCCCAAGTTATGTATTTGATATTTACTATTCCAAAACACCCAAATACCCAACTTCATTCTAATATTATGAAACTCAAATGCTCAGCGATTTTTTAAACATCAAGCTGTATACCTGTTTGTGCAATCGCGTGACATGTAACTTACTTTTTCGTAAGAGTCACTTTTTTGTCGCAAAACTTGAACTACGCGTGCAATCTCTCTTATAAATCACTCATCTTACAACACAAATTTGCACTATTGCATTAAAGAGTGAGACCAATCAAGAACTTCAACATTTATTACTGCGTATGATCTACATGGAATATCGTACCCAATATCGACAGCAACTTAATACCTAATATAAAATCTGACAAATCAGCATTTTTAACCATTAATCCCTATATATTGATACGACGACAGCTCGTGTCAATCAAAAGTAATTAATTTAAGCTCTATTTAGTCGTTGGAATATCTTTAATCTGACGTATCCTCCTTAAATGCCAGAGTATGAAGATCCCCCTCACATAGCAATATTTGCTTTTTCTCTTTCATCAAGTAACCTAAAGAAACTGCAAAGGTTGGAAAGTGAGTTCAGTTGCGTCAATAGTAGGTAAAAGCTTTTTCCAGACAGTTTCATGGATATATGTCATACGGCTAGCGCCGGAGGCGTGGCTCGGAATCGGTTTTTCGCGGGCGTCACGTGACGAAAGAGGCGAGAGATTCAAACCAATAACCTAATAACCCCAAGAATTTGTAAGTAATGGCGCCAGGTTTCGCGCGTAATTAATATATCATTACCGACATTGCTTGGCCGGTAACAATAATTTTTTGCAGACGTTACGAGCGAGCCAATAACACAATTAGTGGTGCGCAGAAAAAGGCGCAAGGTGTCCCGCGTAGTTTAAGTATTGCTTAGATAGTAACAAGAATTTTTTTTTCTCCAGCAGAGAGAAGTTTTAATAATTACCGACATTGCTTCGTCAGTAATTTTTTTTTCCCAGTGAAGGAAAAATTAAGGGGTACCCTAATTATTAGCTGCACCTGTGAAATTTAATTAATTCGAAAGTGCAAATATTTAATTGATTGGTGAAAAAAAAGGTTATTAAAATGAAAACAATTTTTAAATTTATTTAATGCATATATTCTTAAAAAATACTTTAAGTTTACGTATGAGCGCACACAAATTTAAAAAATGCGCTTTTCTATGATTACACTTAAGATTGCTAGCTTGAGTACATATATTGCTTACAATACGATTATTTCTAGATCATTTACTCACTCACTTTTTACACAAATGTTTTTGGTATATAAAAAGTTTACCATCTGCGGTGAAATATCCTTGATGTTCACGACACTTCAGTTCACATTCCTCTTTTGTGCAATTTACTTCTTGTATGTATCCATTATGCAGGTGAAAGTGTAGGCTTCGAAACTTTAAAGTAGCCTTCCAAATTGTATGTCTATCATCACCTGATAACTGGAACATACAACAATACTGTTTTCGAAACAGAAGTTCGAGGAAGGTCAGAATACCTTTGTGACTTGGAGTAAATCCTCCTGTCTCCAAAGAAAAATTCCAACGGTGGTAGTCTGCACACATTTTTTTCTTCAAATCCTTATGTTCGGGGCACAGTTTATCTTCCGTATAGCAAGATTGTTGCTGGCCTGGGGTTCCATATAACATCGCGAAAATCGCACAAATCTTTTTCGCTAACTTCTATTTTATTTTCTTCCCTAACTTCTATTTTAATTTCTCTCAATAATAGATAGACCATCAAAATAGATTTTTGTACAACTGAACACTGCCGGGGATGAAATTAGACTGAAGGTTAGTGTCGAGGAAGCAGTGCTAAAGAAAATAAAATTTCATTTTTAAATTTGTCTACATTTCGAGCAAACAGTCTATTACTCATAAGACTCGGGTCATAAAAGGTGGATAAATCATGAAGCCAAAACGTAAGTGAAAATTAAAGAGTCGTCTTAGTTACACTACCTAACAATATTCATAAGCTTAGAGGTAATGTAAAAATTTCTAAAAACAGTTTGCAAAATATAATTTTGATTCAACTATATCGTGCAACAAACAATGTTTTGAAATGCAACGTCAAACTCTATGTTTCAGTATACTACAACATTATTAATTCTATTTAATTTAAAATTTATGTCATTTAAAAGTATTTCTAAACAGTATGTAGTTAACTGTAAAAATACCATGTCAAAATTTTGTTCTACAAAGAAATTATCAATTGCAGAATAAAGATTTCCTTTAACATTTTTTCGTAGATTTGAGTAATGTTCTTTAATTAGCTTTTCCAAATTTGATACACTGATTTTATTCACAAGAGTGATACTTTCTAATAAAACAATTAACTCATTCACTATAAATTTCTTGCACTTATGAAGGACGTTTATCACACATAGCGTTTTCTGAAGAATTTTCCTGAAATTTGTGTAGGACGCTCGTGATGATGTTAGAAAGTCAGATGTAGAATTTGAGACCATTTTACAACACCGTTCTTTAGATATTAAATTTTGATAGCACCTAAATTTAACACGTAACCTTACGGAGGAGTCACATAAAAATGGAATTTATCAGAAAATGGTCTAAAGAATTTGTCCAATTTTTTTTTTAATAACACAATACGATAAAACCAGAGATGAGTAGAGAGATTGCT